AAACCCCCGTACAAAAAAAAAAAAAAAAAAAAAAAAAGTTTAGCTGCTATTTCATTGCAAAAGCAAAATAAGTGGTGGTTATGTTTTCAGTTATAGAACAGTTATAAATTTTACATATGTTCTATAGAACATAGTTGTAAACAATAACAACCAAACCTAGAAGAAGACACAGCCTTGCCCTTGGATTTGTTCTACAGAGTGCAGTGGTTGCGATCACACTCGCCATCTTAACATAAACCAGTGCTTCAGAGCATGGAGAGGAAGCAGCAGGCCCTGTATTCAAAATACTTCTTGCCTCCAAAAATAAAACTACTTGAAAGCAACTATATTCAGATGTAAGCTCATTTGTTAAGATTGAAATACAGACCTCTGCAGAAGCTCTAACAGCATCTTAGCGAGTCAGCTGGGTCAAAATTATGCATGTGATCTCTCTGCCCCTCCCCCCGGTATTGTAGGGAGAGCAGAAAAATGTCTTGGTTGCCACAACTGCTTCTGAATCCCAACTGACTGCAAACAGGTTCCGCTGGTCCAATACATACGCGTTAAAGAGATTTTAAAAGCAAAGTACTCACTGCATTCACATCACTTCTTGCAAATGGTTTAAAGCATGTTCTTCTAATGGTAGGCTTGTGTAAGAGACATTTTTTTAAATTTTAATATTTCATTACTATTGTGAAATGCCTTTATATGTTACGTTTAGGTTGCTGGTACTCATGATTTTTTATTTCTGCCTCATGTTATAATGAGTTGCTTGCATGCCTACTTACCCAAATGAAGCGAAGCTGTTTGCTCTGGAATGTTCATCTTTTCGACAGAATTTAGCTCATTTGCAATTATGGTGCGATATAGTGTAACATTCATTTGTTTTCAGTCAAGTTTTATTTTTGTCATAATAAATAATTACTTTTCCAATACGAAGTGAACCCAGTGTCTTCTTTTAAAGGTAAAGTGAATTTTAGCAAACTTTTTGTTGCAATCGACAGAAACTCCCACACAAGCAATCAGACAGGGGAATTTTATTACAAGGGTGGTATGTTAGTTGCTCATGGAATCCAAGATCAGAAATAACAGCTGGATTTCCAGAAGAGACAGAAGCAAAGACCTGGAGTACTGAGGAGAGACCAGGTTGACCTTGCTCCTTCACGAGTCCCTCGGCCTTTCACTAGACTGGATTTCTGTGTTTCCTAGTGCACATGGAAGATCATGCACAGGTCTAAGAGCTCCTTTATTATCTTTGTACGATGGAGAAGTCAGATGGTTGTTGACGTATAATTCCTCATTGCCCAGGGAAATTGTTAACTACCTTAGTCAGTGATGGTGAGCCTATGGCAGGTGGACCACAGCCGGCTGTTTATTATTGAAAGCTCTAAAGGGTTCACCGTCACTGGCCTAGATGGAGTCATTTACCGTCATGGTCCGAACAAGTGGCTAAGTGGGAAGAAGGTGCATTTACCATAGAAGGGGGCTGTATGATTTATCTACATGTTGTTTGTGCTTACATTATGTTCTCGGAATAAAAATAATGGTAAAATTAAAATTTAGGAGGCATGGAACTTGCTGTACCTCAGGAGTAGGCTGTGCTGCAGAGCAGTGATCTAAAGGTTCCCTAATGCCCCTTTGTAAACCTTCCTCCGCTCCGTTACCCACCTTCAGATAGTCAGTCACTGATTGGATTTCTGCTGCTGTAGGTCACTTTCATCAAGTTCTATAAAATCACATAATTACAGGTTTTTCATCTTGCTCTGTGTTTCAGAAGTGCATCCCTTTCTGTTAGTGACTAGTACTCCATTGCATAGATTTCTCTCCGTGTGCTTGCCTTTTCACCTGTCGGTGGACCTTTGAATCACCTCTAATTGTGAGCTGCAAGTGAAGCTTCCCACACATTCGCGCATCGGCCTTTGTGTAAACATTTGCTTTCGTTTCTCGGGTGAATCCAGAGACCCTGGGAGTGCAGTGGATGGGCCACGATGGTAAATGGACATGGAACTTTTAGGGCAGAGCTTACTTCTGAAGTGCCATTTATATTTCTTCCCGGTTAGTGTATAAAGTTCTGGTCGTCCCACATTCTCGCCACCTGTGCACCTGGTCATGGCCTTTAGGCATTGTGATAGATGCCTCCTTGTGGGTTTAGTTTGCATTCCTCTGAGGGTGAAAGACGGCATCTGTTTACGTGCTTTATCGCCTTGTACTGTTGTGAAGTATTTGTTCGCCTGTTTTGTTCATATTGGTTTATTTAGTGGCATTGGAACTTGGACCCAGGGCCTCGCTCATAGCAGACAAGCACCATACTGCCGAAGTGGGAAGCCCTTGCTTAGTTTTAATTTTTTTAAAAATGAGTTTCGAGAACTGTTTATTCCAATTCAAGTGGTTTATCGGTAGGCTCCTTACATTTGGCTCCCAGTCTGTGGCTTACTTTGTTCTTTTAATAATCTCTCTTTAAAGCCTTGACTTTGTAATGCTACTCCCTAGGAACAGATGGCCAAGTACAAGAGTATCAGTAGTGAGTTTTGGTTAATCACAGGTTTAAACGTAACTAAAATCTTTGTGTATAGTTGGCATCTATAATCTATGTATAAGTTTCAAAATATGTTTTCTGATCACTAACGTAAGCTTGCTTGGAATTCCTATGCTTCACAGGGGTGAGTTTTGTTCTATGTTTCGATCCGAGGATCCGAGTGTTGAAATGTAGTTTTAAAAAGTTAAAAAACTGGGACTGGTGGCATAGCTCAGTGGTAGAGTTTAATCCCCAGTGCCACACACAAAAAAATGAAGCAGCCCTCGTATAAGTATATGCTGAGCACTTAATCCAACATTTATCTAACTCAAGGAACTCACAGGTTGAAAGGTTGGTTCAAAAAAGGACACTTCTGAAAAGTTTACAAACTTTACCAAGTCTCCATATTAACCTTGAGATTCAGAGTCTGGGCCCTAATGGATAGTAAATACTCAAGCAAAATTACACATTTTCCCCCTAGACAGGTGGTCTCTAAGTGAACTTGATAGTGCCGTATTATGACTGAAAGCATGTAATTCTCTTTTTGCTATGTTGCAAGGTTGGGATATATTTTTTAAAACAGGAAAAGCATTTTTTCATTGTATTAAAAAACACTGGCTTATCAAAATACAAGATAGAAAATGGGCTTCAGGTAAGGGTATGAACCAGCCAAGAGGTAGATGTTTTTTGGTATGAAATTCAGTGTAATTACTCATCTGTGTTAAACAGGCTCCACCTGACCATTTAAAACCCAGCATGGAGAGGCCAGGGAGCACAAGGTCCTGCGTTTGATTCCTGGTACCGAGAAAGAAAGACCAGCATGGCGTAGAACAGGCTGATGGTGCCAGAGCTGCCGGGAAGCCCATACTGGAGAACCTGGCAGTGGTCTGCTCACTACTTAGACACTTGCCCAAAATTACAGTTGATTAGAAAGCGGGGCCACGTGCCAGCATGAAAGATATGTTTTTATGTACTTGTTACATGATAAAAAGGGCCTTGAGATCTCGCTTGGAGGTTCCAGCAGGGGCACACAGCTGCTCGTGTACCCTTGATGGAGGAAACGGTCCTCCTCTATCAGGGTGGTCGTCCTCTTCACCGAGAGTGCAGCTTCAGGACAGATGTAAGAGCAGTGAGGGAGGAGGGAACACCTGCCCAGCCAGCCCAATCAAAAAGGTCTTGACATTAAAGGAGGTTACTCGATTCTTCGCATGCTAACCCATGTTAGACTTTTCCTCTTGTGAATTTCGTGTCATAAAGTGCAATTTAACAAAAGTGAACATATGTACTAACCCGTGCGGTATTCCTCCCGAGTGATGGGCTGTTTCCTGCTTGTAGCTGCCGCCCTCACTCGAGAATACTTGAGACCGTGCTCCACATCCAAGGGCTCCCCAGATACATTTCGTTTGTTACTCATCTCCCCAATCCACAGAACATGCTAGCTATGCACTTTGTTGTGATGAGAAAAGAGGCCTTGATCTCCCATTCACTTCTTACTTCCTAGAGCCCATGGCATTGAGTAAAACTAAAAGAAAGTATATTCACCAACATCGAATCCCATTTTTGTTCAAGTTCTGAGGATAATGATTTTTTAAAAAAAAACGTGCACCTTTTCCTCATTAAATCTATAGTTGGGGAGATAAATGTAAGTAAATGCAAAATCATGTATGTTTGTCAGGCTAAGTTTCAATGTCCAGAGTCATTTCAACCCCTATGAGTTTTCAGTAAAAGACATACTAAGCATATATGTGTGTGTATGTGTGTGTGTGTGTATACATTTACATTCCCGTTAGACATAATATTTTCAGAGGGCGCAACAGGAAAAATAGAAAAATCTGGGAAAGTTTAACATTTTTTGATGAGCAATTAGATGTCACCTCTAAAATTTATATGTTGAAGTCCTGACCCTTTTTAGGACCTCAGAATATAACCTTACTTGAGGATTTGTAAAATGTGTGTGGTTGGCTGGTTTTTGTTTTTCGGAATGCTGGGATCACAAGCTTTGGGACACCCCTGGCATGGAGACTGTCTTTACAGAAGTAAGTTGAAATGAGGTCCCTAGGGTAGTCCCCACCCCAATAACTGGTGCCCTTACGGAAGGCCACTGATTCACTAAGGACAGGTGGAGTGAAGATGGACAACAGCACTCAGGGAGCCAAGGAAAGGGGGCTGGATTGGGTTTTTCACAGCCATCA